CCGGCGGTGCGGTGGCCGCCGCCGGCGGGACTGGAGCCAGTGCTGTCGTTCGCGGCGGCGGGGCCACAGGCCCAGTCGCTGCAGGCTCCTCAGTGGACACCTTCACGCACGGGCCACGCTCGCTGTCGACGAAACCCACGGTCGATTTGAAGATGTCATCCTCGGAGAAGAGCGGGGCACCGCGCGGAGCACCGCCGATGACCCAATGGCCGTTGATCCGCCACCCTGCCGCAGGAACAGTGGAGTGTCCTCAGGTCGTCAGTCCCGCCATTCCTCTTGGCGTGAACGGTTTAGCGCGTTTCCTCTTCCAACCCCCCGTCTTCATCTTCGGGGAGGGGTTCATCACTGCTCTTCACTGCTGTACACTCTCTCCCCCACCCGACTGGCCGACCGGCGACAAGCCCAGGACCATGCCCCCCCTTCGCCGTCCCTGTCAAAGAACCATACACCATGCACTCTGCACCCATTTCTAGATCATGCCACGCGCGGACGCCCCACGATCCCTTTGGATTTGTTGTCTTGCGACAGGGGTGGTGGGGGCCGGCATATTGCCTGCTGCGTGCAATGCCGACGCGCCCAACTATCCCCAGCAAGAGGCAATAGAGCATGCACTCTGCACCAGCATCCGAAGCATGTGCGGGCGCCCCGCGATCACTCTGAAGTGGCTTCTGGAAGCGGCGGTTGGGGTGCCTTGCACACGGCATGCCGTGTGCAACGCCACAACACCCACCACCATCCCCTGCCAATCAACAACACAGAGTGCACTTTGCACCAGCGCCGTTGAAGAGTTTGGGCGAGAGTCGGCAGGGGGGGCAGGGGCAGCATGTTGCCTGCGGCGTGCGGGCCCTCGTCCAATTCAACCAGACATGCAAGTCTCAGTTGGCCAGGGACGGCGGGAGGGGCGGCATACTGCCTGCTGTGTGCAGGCCTGGTACCCCTGTCAAAAGCATGTGCAAAATGTTTCTTGTTGTTGTCGTCGTCGTTGTCGTTGTTGTCGTTGTTGCTGTAGTTGTCGTAGTCCTTGAGTTTTCACTTCAACAACAACAAATAGTGTTGACCCTCCCGTAACGGTTGCATTTTCAAATTGAACTGAATTTCCAAGGGCTCGCACCCTGTTTACAAGGGAAAGAGAGTGTCACCAAACTGGGCCCCTGGCCCCCGGAGTACAACAACAATTGTTCCCGCCTGATGATTCCACACCATGTATTTCCAAATCGCGCTCGCGCGCGGGAAGTCCTCACACGTTATGCATGAATCGCGCTTCCGCGTGGGACTTCTTCGCAATGGACTCAGACGCAGGGCCTTCGACACTCAGGAATTACACTCTCGCTGTGGATTTCCTTACTTGAGACCTCATCGCGGACGCATGCTTCAGCAACCCGCCTGCTCCACCTGCATGCCTGGGCCCGCCTTCCCGATACGCCCGCTAGGGTTCACCCGCCCGATCTGTCCGTCTGGTTCGGCCACGTGCTTTCTGCTCTTGACCCCCTCTCTTGCTACTCTCTCTCGTGCTCCATCCTCCTCCGTCTCCCTTGTCCCTTCCTTTCATCCGTCCTCTCTTCCCCTGCCTTAGGGGCTGCACGAAATACGCATTGCAGGATACATGCTCCCAAAAGGGGGTACGGCCGAAGACGAAAAGGGCGGGTCTCGAGGGTTTGGGATATACGTGTTGGATGGCCCGCGAACAAATACGAGCGAACGGTTTCAAAGTGAGTGGTGTCGTTGCTGATGTTATTGCTGTTGCTGTTGCTGTTGTTGTTGCTGTTGCCGTTGCTGTTGCTGTTGTTGTTGACGAACTCTCACGACTGAAACATAAATATTGTTGATCCCCCTCTGGTGACGATTGTGTTATTCAAAATGAAATGTTTCCCCTGGGGCCCGCACCCTTTAAAACAAAAAATTGGGAAGTTCACTCAGCTTGAACTGGGTTGCTGGCCCCTGGGTTACACAACAACGGTTGCCGCCTTAGACTTCCCCACACTCTAGCCAGGACCCCCGCTCCCGCCTGAGACTTCCTCGCATTTGACTCAGGACGCGCGCTCTCGCTTGGGAGTTCTTTACAAGGTATTGAAACATCGCTCTCTCGGCGCTCTGGAATCGCGAGCTCGCTGGAAATTTGCTTGCAGTTTCTCAGGCACCCAGGAACCGCGCTCACGCTTAGGACTCCCTCGCAACTTACTCAGGAACCGGGGCATCGCTGCCCTTCGTGGGCCCCCTCGCTGCCCTTCGTGGATCCGTTGCGACCCTTTGTGGCCCCCTCGCTGCCATTCGTGGGCCCGTTGCAACCCTTCGTGGCCCCCTCGCTGCCCTTCGTGGCTCCGTTGCGCCCCTTCGTGGCCCCCTCGCTGCCCTTCGTGGTCGTGGCCCCCTCGCTACCCTTCGTGGCCCCGTTGCAGCCCTTCGTGGCTCCCTTGCTGCCCTTCGTGGCCCGTTGCGCTCCTTCGTGGCCCCGGTGCAGCCCTTCGTGGACCCCTCGCTGTCCAACGTGGCCCCATATATG